GTTCTGAAATCAGAACGGGCCGTTCTGAAATCAGAACGGGCCGTTCTGAAATCAGAACGGGCCGTTCTGAAAGCAGAACGAGCCGTTCTGAAAACAGAACAGCCTGAAATCAGAACGGGCCGTTCTGTTTTCAGAACGACCCGCTCTGCTTCACTGGTGGTGTTTTAATTTTGCAACCAGAACGACCCGTTCCGGTTTCAGAACGGGCCGTTTCGGGCCAGGTGTTTTCAAAAAAAAATTCTCATCCACGTAGATGCAACGTATGCATCTACGAGACATCCACATGGCCAAAAGTTAACTCCGTTTAAATAATTTGGACGGAAGTCCCACATTGAAACTAATTAATTAATTTGGGACTAAATTGAAATCAATGAATTAGTTTGGGACCAAATTGAGATAAAAAATTAATGAGGGACTAAATTGAAACAAAAAAAGATTATAAGGGACTAAAATAGGTTTTTAGCCCAAACACATACCTATTAGGTTGGTATGTTTTCTCATATTCCTTCATCATGATCACTTCGAATAACATGCATTTCGTCCACATCATTGTCCACAATAGTACCAAATGATCTACTTAAGAAAGACAATGCCTCATGCATATCTAGAGATTCGTCTTTGTGAGTTTCGTGCATGTTTCTTTCTTTGAGCATCACTGAACATTTCTCATTACATGGATCCCTGACATAAAATATTTGCCTTGCTTGATATGCCATAATAAAAGGTTCATCCTTATAACCGACCTTGTTCAAATCTACCAAATTAAACCCTAAATCATTTATTCGCACACCCATATTGTCATCAACCCATTTACACTTGAACACAGACACTCTAAACGTAACATAATCAATTTCCCATATCTCTTGTATGACTCCAAAATAACTCATAGATGCTGTAATGGGATTTTTATCTTTAGAACTAGCAAAGTGCACAGACTCAGCCTGAATTGTAGCCCCACTGTTTTGTACTCTACTTTTGTCATCTTCTATCTTTGAATAGAAATAATAGTTGTTAATGTCATACCCACCAACTGTAATGACATCGTTGTTAGGCCCACGAGCAAGTCTCAAAAGTGTATCAGAAGCATCAACCTCACCATAAACCTTTTTCTTAAATCAAGCTAAGAAACTATTGTTATGTTCATTCAATATCCACTTTTCATTCATTCGAGGGTGTGCTACCTTTATTTCGTGTATGTGTTGCAATATGTAAGGAATGACTTCACCAGTGTTGTTCAATATGTACAAATGTGCTTGGTCAACTTCTATTTGACTCATATTTCAAATCTTTAAACTTCAAGTACCCTTACCAAAATGTTTTCCATCATGTCGAGTCTTAGGAATTCCTACTGGTTCTGATTTTGACATGTACCCTGAATAAAACTCAATGGCTTCTTTTGCAATGTACCTCTCCATAATAGAAGCTTCTGGCCGGTACTTATTCTTGACATATCCTTTTAAGATCTCTATGTATCTCTCAACAGGTAAGATAAACTGGGCCACACAATCGAATCTCCCTAACCAAATAAAGTATCAAATGCACCATGATATCAAAAAATGATGGTGGAAAATACATTTCCAACTGACATAAGATTGTGATTGCTTCATTTTCCAACTCATCTAACTTTTGAGGGTCAATTACTTTCTTGCAAATGACATTAAAGAATAAACACAATTGAGTAATAGCGACTTTAATAGAAGCTAGTAAAATATTATAAATAGCCATAGGCAAAAGTTGTTGCATTAAGACATGACAATCGTGAGACTTTAAACCAACTAACTTCAAATCTTGCATAGACATTAGACTCTTAACATTTGAGGAGTACCCTTGAGAAACTTTCACACCACGTAAACATTCACAATAGCTTTTCTTTTCTTTTCTTGATAGAGCATGACAAGCTGGAGGCAAATAAGTGCATTTTCCAAAAGACTGTGGATGTAACTCGGAACGTATATCCATGTCCACCAAATCTTGTCTTGTTTTCACTCCATCTTTTGTCTTTCCTTTTTATGTTTAGCAATGTCCCAATTACACCATTGCAAATATTTTTCTCCACATGCATCACATTTATACAGTGTCTAACATCTAGCTTGCACCAATAAGGAAGATTAAAGAATATTGACCGTTTCTTCTAGATATTTTTCTCAGTTGACTTCTTATTTGTCTTTTCAAAAACAATGTTAATATTTCTCATCTGCTCATATACTTGTTCACCATTGTGTGGTGTCGATACAACTTCATCTTCCTGACATCCATTGAATGTTTTCTTCAATCTACGGTATGGATGACTACGAACTAGACACTTGCGATGCCTAGTGTATGCAATCTTTTTCCCATTTTTCAAGTGGGTATAACTTGTATTTTCTTCACATATAGGGCATGCATAATGACCCTTCACACTATAATTGCTCAAGTTACCATATGTTGAAAAATCATTTATTGTGCAAAATATCATTACACGCAAAGTAAATTTTTCTTCACGGTATGCATCAAAGACCCCCACTCCTGTTTCCCACAACATTTTCAAGTCATCAATCAAGAGACTAAGATACACATCTATGTCATTTCCTGGTTGTCGGGGTCCTGAAATCATCATAGACAACATATTATACTTTCTCTTCATGCATAACTAATGAGGCAAATTGTAAATGACCAACAAAACTGACCATAAACTATGTTTACTACTTAAGTTCCCATCAGGATTCATGTCATCTATAGCTAGTCCAATTCTCAAGTTTTTGACTCTGCACCAAATTCTGGAAATGTTCATCAATCCTTTTTCATTGTGGAGAATCAACTGGATGTCGAAGAAGTTTGTCACATTTTCTACCATTTGCATGCCATGTGATGTTTTTTACACCCTCTTTAATGACAAACAATCTTTTAAACTTAGTTATTATTGGCAAGTACCATAACACCTTAGTAGGGGGACCCTGTATTTCTTCCTCACCACTACTTTTATCAGCTTTCTTTTTGAACACCTGTCATGGTCGCAGTGGGTATTAGGAGAAGGAGACCAAAACCCTCTGTCTCTCTTTGTTCTTCTCTCTGGTCTCTACGCTCGCCCTTAGCCCCTTCCCTGCAGGTAGGGTGATAGAAAATGGAAAGTATGATATCAGAAAAGGAGCGAGTGATAATGGAAGAGCTTGTTAAGGGCCATGAAGCTGCTACCCAACTCAAGGATCTTTTAGAAAACCCCATTGGCACTGAAGACTCTCTCTCACTCTCACCAGAGAAACTCTTGGCGAATGTGCTCTCATCTTTCTCACAAACTATTTCTATCATTAACGCCTCTTCTTTCCAACTACCTCCTCCTCCTCCTCTCTTGCACTTCATGTTCTCGAATCCACCAGTTATTCAACCAACCACCTCCTTCTCCTCTTGCTCTTGCACCTCATGTTCTCGGTTCCACACTAGTTATTCAACGTATGGAGATGACAGTGTAAATTGGAACAAATCCCAACAAGGTCAAAGCGATGAAAGAGATAGCCACAGTATAAGGTTATGTGTTCTGTTTCTCATCAATCTATGTCTGCTTTAATTCTACAAACCCATATTTCCTTGCCGATCAATTGAACGGATGTATAATTAATGGACAAAATTTTTCTGTATGTAATTTTTTTCACATATGCGTTTTTATTATCTAGCTAGCCAGATGTTATGTATATATAAATTCCTAAATTGTTGTTCCACAGGAAGGGGAAGGGTGAACCGACATGGGCTGCATTCTCAAACACCACTGAAGACGGTTCTCTATGGAGGAAGTATAGACACAAAATTCTGAATTCTATATTTCTTCGGTACGTAATTGAGACTCTATTTATATACATAAGTAAACATGATTCATTGCAGCTCACATAACTATTTTTCTTTATTTGGTTTCTTTCCCAATCTCCCAAGTTATATGGGAAATTAGGGGGAAGAGAGAGGGTACGGAGTAGAATCAAAATGGGCTGTTATGGACATAGAACAATTTGGGTCTCTCAAGAAGCTTAGCTATAGGGAAGTAGGAATATTCATTTTCCTATGATTCTTGTTTTTAATTAAAAAAAAAATTCTAAAAAAATGCTTCTATCTTATATTTAAACACGTTTATACATTATTTTTCATTTTTGAATTCTTATCAAAATTACTTATTGGAGAACACTTTCCTTAGTTTCTTTCTGACTCTTACCAAAACCAGAAATTATACTCAAGCTGATGTGCCAATGTGCAAAAACTAACACAAGGGACTGCTTCCTACTTGAATGCTCAAAGTACCCTATCACGTACACATATATAAAAGATGATTCAGTACTAGAAAAAGTTAAAATTAAGCTTTTCTGTAGGGGAAAATTTTCCTCTTATAAATAAAATATTAAAAACAATTGTCTTACCCTATTAAGGTCAAATTTCATAATATACATTTATGAAGGAAAAATATAAGAAATTTCATAAGCTATTTTTTTCTTCTTCCATATAAGTATTTTTTTAAGAATGAGAGAATTTATCAATATATTCTTTATCTTTCCCACGACTCTATATATCTATTCCATAGTATTCTTTCATTGATTCATTGCATGTCTTCTTGTTGCTCTTTATGATATATAATTGTTTTAATTCCATAGTCGACGTGTTTTATAGTCGAATATGTGAACTATAATTAAATAAAAGAAAGTTTGAGGCATGTGTAGTATTTAGGAGTAAAATGGTAAATGTATTTATAATATTTAATTATTATATTTTTTAATTTGAAAAATATAATTTAAACAATCTAACTTTCCTCTGTCTCTCTTTTATTTCTTTGATACCAAATTACTTTAATTTCTTATTACTTCTCTTTCCTTATCTTTTATTTATTTATTTTTCTCTTCTATTTTTTACTACTTTACAAAACACAGTATTTAAGTAAGTAAATTTAATGAGACAAGATTCACATCTTGAATTATTAAAAAAAAATATTTAAAATTGTGTTCCAAAATAAAAAGAAAAGTGATCATTATTTTAAAAAGATAAAATTAATTCAAATTTTGAAAAATTAAGGATTAAAATAAATCTTTAGAAAGATAAAGAAATAAAATAAATATTAAAAAAGAAGAAAACTGATAATATAGTTTAGCTGGCACATATGTCCAAACTCCAAACATAGTTTTGTCTCATTGCTTTACACCACGGAATTTTATATTGAGTAAAATTTAAAATACATTGAAATTTATTTTAATTTCTATAAAAAGTAATGTATTTTTTATTCTTGTATTTATCAAAAGTTTTGCAACTTTTATTTTATTTTCAATTAGTTAAATTGTTGGGCTAGTCCTTAAATTATTTAAGAATTTTTAAGTTAATTCTTAAATTAAATTTTAAGTGGAGTAGTGAGTTCAATGCATGAGAGTTTAAGTTGAATCCTTAATTTTGTTATTCTAATTTTTTCATATTAATAAAAAAATGTCTTTTAAAATCCTATATGAATTACTCTCTTAAAATCTTCCATCTAAACATACTAGAAAATTTTAGATATTTTAATGAACTAAAACATGGTATACTATTTATGTTATCAAGAGAAGTTGAAATTTTGAGGTTATATATGTTGGACTTGTTAATCTTCATATATGTTTAGAATTATTGCAGATAATATTCCTTTATGTTGATTTTAGGTTCAGATCCGAAAGAATTCCTTATAATTTTTCACAGATGCATTCTATATATTAATTCTAGATGGTATCGTATGATATGTTCAATATAATAAATGACATGCATTTGCTATATTCCCGAGTTGTTGTTGCATTATTAGCTTGAATTGACTTATTTTTTTTGGTAACGATCGTGAATTCAAAATGTAACATGATGAAGAAATTCATTTACAATCCTTACCATTATAATTATTAGATTTTGAGAAATAATCACATTTTTTTTAAAACTCTCGGTTAGAAGCCAATTTTCGTGTTTATATTTAATCTATACACATTATCGCAGGAATGATGAAAGTTTGCATGAAGTATCAGATCACGAAAGACAGAATCGGGAGAATGATAGCTTATATAGTCAATTTCGAGGAAAACACAAGATAACTGATTCTGAAAGCTCATGGCCCTTATTAACTTCAAGTTCTGACAGAAACACTGATACATCATTGTCAAATTCACACGATTATTCCGCCCCCTCGTGAATTTATCATGTATATAGTTTTCGTTAATTACTGTAAGTTAATGTATTTTGGTTTTTGATTTCAATACTCGTGAGAACTGAAATTATGAATGAGAGGAAACATATAGAATTATATATCTTAATATTGGGCATGTAGTTTATTTATCTATAATGTATCCATAAGAAAATAACATTTTGTTGACATTTCATCCGGTAGATAGTGGTGGAGCTAGAGGAGAAATTTTGAATCCATTTGGGAAAGCCATGCTTCTGAAATCAAGAATAGAGTTTCGATCTTAGCTCGTATGAGAGGGAAGTAATCAAGAATAAAGTTTCCAAAACAATAATATCTTTGAAAAGTTTCGAATATCTGCAAGTTTGAGTCCTTGTGTTCATAGTACAGACTATACAAAGATGCTACTATTCATTGCTAGTGTTTCCATGATGATCCTGTTCTCAACATGTAAAATAAAGACTTGTACCTCATAATCATCACCACAGCTACAGTTTAATGAGATCAAACATCATACAACATCAACTAATTAATTTATCAATAATTCAAGTTATAACTTACTTAGCTACTCAACTTTATTTAGAGAAGGTTTCTCTCTGACTACTCAAAAGAAGAAAAAGAAGGAAATTTTATTTTTTTTCCCTCCAAATTCTTTAAAGAATGAACTTTTATAATTTATTTTATATATTTTTTCTTAACATGTTAATTTGACCTTAAATCAGAATAACTAAAATTCATAAAAAAAATTAAATCTTAAAGTTTTACAAATAATAGAAGACTAATCACAAAATCGATGAAATCAATAAAAAAATAATTACAATTTAATAATAAAAATGTACAGTGTGAAGGGGGAGACCTTGTTTATGGTAAATTTTTGTTTCTTTTGCCGACATAGCTTTTCCATCAATAATTGTGTAATCACTTCTTTATTTTTTTGTGTTGAAAAAACACGTTTTTCTTTTTACAGCCAAAAAGAAAAACAAGATTTTTTCAGACACAATGAATATGGACAAATCACGTATGCTTTTTTATTTTTTAGTTATGGAAGCAAATGGGTGAACTTTTTCTACGAGTTTACATTATTAAGTTGAAAAAGTATTTGAAGAAAAGAAAAAGAAAGCCAAATTTAAAAAAAAAAATAGAATATATTAACGTTTACCAATGGGATCTACGCAGGATTTGGCAGGAAATTGTTTAGGTTTTCTATTTTCAAGAGTGAAGAAAACAAACGCAGCAAAGAAAAAAAGTTAAAAACTGTAGCCTTGCAAAAGAAACACCCATGACATTGGTTAAGGCACACGGGACGCTTTTACTATTTTTAACAGACTAAATTATTTTTTTTTATTTTTAAAATTAAATTTGATTCTATTATTTAAAATAGTTTAATTAGATTCCCTATTTTTTTAAATGTCCAATATTATCTTTTGATACAAATTGATATTAATGTCATTAATAAAATTAGATAGAAGTGATTAAAATTGAATCAATTAAAAATAGTCAGGTAAAATTGAACATTTCATAAATAGAGAAATTAAAATAAAAAAAATTTATTTAACATTTGTGTGTCTAGATAAATTTGATTTTTTTATACTTATTTAATAATTTATTTTATTAGATAATTCGTTTATTTTGTGACCATTTCTTTTAATTTCAAGTATTTAATTTATTGTCATTCATATAATTTTGTTAAGATAAGTAAAAAAAATTAAATTTTTTTAGAAAAAAATGTTAGATAAATTTTTATTCAATTTGGTCCTACTATTTTTTAAGATATTTAATTTGGTTTCATTATTATTAAAATTTTCAATTTATTCCTCTAATTTGTTAGACTTAATGTGATGTTTTTACTAATAGGTATATTTTATGCAACAATATTTGATAAATTTCTTAACAAAATTTGAATATAAGGACTAAAATAAGATTTTTTAAAATAATAAAAACTAAAAATAATAATTTTAAATTTGATAAACTAAAAATAAATTTAACATAAATTTAAGAAATTAAAAACATATTTAAACCTAATTAGAATTTATAGTATACTCTTTTCCTAAATTACGTTAACTCGTTAGATCGTTTGAGTAATAAAAACATCACTCAAAATATATTTGGTAGTATAAATAATTTTTAAAGATAAGTGAACGTAATAGATCTGCTTATTTTTCTTTCAGCATTAATATTTATAAAGATACACACCACGTCATTCTAAATGGAACACAAATAAAAAGAATGCAACCGCACAAACCAAAATGTTGCTAACGTGCAACAACTAAAATTTAATTAGGTTAAAAATAAAATATTATGAATCATAAGTTATTGCCATAATATTTGCTAAATCACTAATGGATAGCATTTGAAATCAATCAGCACATTTACGCATTAGTTACCGAAACCAAAAGAGAAAAAAAAATTCTAGGTCAAATGCAATGAACTTGGACACAATAAAAAAATCGATTAAAATAAATATAAAATTTAAAATATATATATATATATATATATATTTAAATATTAAATTAGAATATTAATTTTTAATATTTCCCACTAATTTAAAATTTAAATATGGAAAATATGGAAGATGGAAAAAAAACTTAAAAGACATTTTTAATAGAACAAGATATATTATATTTTTAGTATAAGGAACCTTCCGGGTTTGAGCCTTATATTTAGTACATATAAATTTTCATTTAAGAAAATATGGAGACATGATTGTCTGGAACCATATCCCTTTAACTAGATTTCAAATTATAACACATATAATAAAAATGTTCATTTGAATTCTAATGACTGAAGTGCATTACGACCTTGTACATGTATTTTGTCTCGTAAGTATCACTTAGAAATTGTCGATATCTCACAGTAGCAGCCCCACCACCACACTCACTAGGTGAATCCTTCCAAGGGTGTACACCCACCCTACAATAATTGTCATTGGATTCATTAAAGGATATTTTCGATTTTAACACTAAATATAAATATTTAAATACCTAAACCTTATTACTGTCACAGTTTAATTTAGAGTATACCTCGCCATATGAATGGAACATGCAATAATTTTACAAATTATAATGGTGTATTTTAGTTAACAAACAATTTCATTATTACCCATTGAACTCCATTCATGGGGCCTTCATTTATTCGGAAATAAGTGTCCATTGTTGCAACTAGTTGATGGGGTTTAGTCTCATTCTTCTCGACGATTCAAGTGCTTGTTGACGCATCAATCCTTTTGTGAGTGAATCCGCAAGATTATTTTCAGACTTGATAAAATCAATAGAAATAACATCGTGAGATATCAAATTTCTAATAAACTTGTGTTTTATTCTTAAGTACCTTCTTTTTTCATTAAAGTTTTTGCTAGTAATTTTAACAATAACAACTTGACTATCACAATGCATTGAGATTGGAGGCATAGGTTTATTTAACAAAGGCAAGTCACATAATAAATTTTTAAGAAATTCAGTCCCACAACTATCAATATCTAAGGCAATTATTTCAACTTTCATAGTAGAATAAGAAATAATAGTTGTTTTTTTTTTTTACATTTTTCCAAGCTATTGCACCTCCAACTAAAGTAAAGACATAATCACTAGTAGATTTAGTTTCATTAGAATCAGAAATCTAATTTGCATCACCAAAACCTTCAATTACAACAAGATAACATGCATAGTAAATGCCATAATTAATAGTTCCTTTAATATATTTAAATACCCTTTCTAAAGCAACCCAATGTGAACGATCATGATTGTGGGTATATCTTCCTAATCTACTAACAGCATATGCAATGTCCAATTTAGAATATTTAGACAAATGCAACAAGGAACCAATAATTTGAGAGTAATTAAGAGGAGACACACCTTCACCAATATTTTCTTCAATTTTATATTAGAATCGAATGGGTAGAAACAAGTTTCACATCAAAATAATTAAACTTCTTTAACAATTTTTTAATATAATGTGACCCTGTCAAAACAAGACCATCACAATTCTTTATTAACTTAATGCTTAAAATAGCATCATCATAACCAAGATCCTTCATTTCAAAATTACTAGACAAGAAAGACTTCACATCATGTATAGCATGCAAATTTCTACCTAAGATTGAAATATCATCCACATAGAGACATAAAATGACATATGAATTATCACCAAATTGTTTCACATAAACACATTTATCACTATTATTGAATTGAAAACCATATGACAAAACAACTTGCTAAAATTTATCATGTCATTGTTTAGGTGTTTGTTTTAAACCATACAAAGTTTTAACAAGCTTACAAACTTTATTTTCCATTACAAGTTCTATAAAACCTTTAGGTTGATTTATGTGAATTTTTTCTTCATAGTCGCCATTTAAGAAAGTAGTTTTTACATTCATTGATGAATTTCTAAATTAAAAACACAAGCAAAAGCAATTAAAACTCTAATAGTAACTTTAAAATTAGGAGAGTATGTACCAAAAAAAATCTACAAATTATATTTAAAATATGACATGTAGTAAACCCACAAATTATATATTAGGCAAACCAAAGCTTATAAGTATAACATTTATCGTATCTAACATAATACAATTTTTTCTTTTTAGCAATTTCATTATATTGAGGAGCATAGGGTGGAGTAATTTCAAAAATAATACCATGTGATTAAAAAAATTCACCCATTTCATTGGAAGAATATCCTCCCTTTATCATAATGAAAAATTTTAATTTTCCTTTCTAATTGATTTTCAACCTTTACTTTATAAACTTTGGATTTATCAAATAACTCGCTTTATGAATTATCAAATACACATAACAATATTTTGAGAAATCATTAATAAAGGTAATAAAATGTTTCTTTCCACCATGAGTACTCACACCATTGCTATAACATATATCACCATGAATGAGTTCAAGCAAACAAGTTTCCTTTTGAACAAAATTTTAAAAAGATTTTTGAGGTTGTTTAACTTGAACACAAACTTCACATTTTTTTTCTTCAATTCACTAAAAAATTTAGGAATAAGATCAAGAGTCATCATTCTTTTAATAGATTTCAAGTTAACTTTTCCAAGTCTATCATGTCAAGTATCACAACATTCAACATTTGAAACAGATAATAAAAAAATGCTATAATGTTTATTAATAAAAAATGACATAAGATTTAGTTTAGATAAACCACCTCAAATGACTTAAACTCATTTGACATGTCAACCTTAATAGGATATGTCAAAATGACTTTATTTTATTTAAGTCATCTTTTTCAAGATTTAGTGTAACCTTATTTATGAGTTGGTTGAGTTCAAATTAATAACTTTAATTAATATTATATTTAAAATAATTACATTACCCTAACTTGAAATTTTTTCCTTCTCATTTGTATACAACTTTTCATAAAACAACTTTTTCAATAAAATTTCAAATTTCAACTTCTCTTTTGTTTTTTTTTATCACTGAAATCAAGTTGCATCCTAGTTATTTTCTATCTTTTTGCATCAAATTACAAATATATCATTCACTTACTACACAATTATGCGAGACAGTTTATATGTGCATAAGAAAAAGAGACAAATAAAGAGTAGAATCGTTAACCGAAATTTCATAAGACAAATAAAAAACATAAAATAGTACACTTTATATGAATAATCGATGAGAATATTAAAATTTTTATTGGTAACTAATTTGATCTAATTAAATTATTATTGGTGTTAAATAAGGTTTTTATGAAATCCACAATGGACATACACAACACCTGTCATTAGTGATGGATCCAAAAAACTTTGTTAAGTGGGGTAATAAAATTTTTTGTATCATTTTTACTAAAAGAAATTATTTATAAAAAAAAACATTTTTATGGTAAAAAATTTAAAATACATTATTTTAATAAATTAAATTATCTTATAAATAGAGTGTTAATTTTTGTTTTTTTTTCTTTTTAATTGAGATTATATTTAAGTACCACTTTATAATTTTTTGTGACTTATTTAATATTAGAGGAATAAAATGGTAAAAATTAATAGGATAAAAATAATAAAATTATCAATTTATTTTCTTTAAATATTTTCTAAATTTCTACACTCATTTAAAACAGAAATATTTTATGAGTGTAATGTCTATTTTTTTTATAAGAGTAAATGTCTTTATTTAAATATGTTTAAGTTAAAAAAAATAGTGTGATAATTACTCTCATTCCTCTTAATGTAGATCCTCTCCTACCAACACAATATACATATAAATGATCAAAGAGTTAAAAAATAAAATAAAAATTAAAAAATAACCTACATTAGTAAACTAAATTATGACACATTTAATGAGTAAAGAAGTAATAAATCTTTTAGTAAAAAAAATATAACATATTATAATAATATAAAAATAAGAAGGAATTGATAGACTTATTCTGCTAAATAATTTATGTTCTATATCAAGTATTTATTTAATTAATTAAAAGTCTTTAATGTATAAATTAAAATTTTAAAATTTTAAAAAAATTAATTTTTTTTAATATTTCGTTTCATTAATTTAAATTGATGGATAATTATAAAAAAAAACATTTTATATGTTATGTTGAATTCATTTAATGAAGTATCATATGATTTTTAATCTTTTTTAAAATTTATAAATTTAATTTATATAATAATTTTTTTTAAATTTAATAGTTAAATTTTTAAAAATTTGATATAGAACATTATTATTGAATAGAGTAGATTTATAGAGACTTATTTTTAGAACAATTAAAATTATTTCTCATAAAAAATTAAGAAAATTTTATCATTGAAAGTAATTAAATAATAAAATAAAATATTAATATATTTTATTATATTAGATAAAGTAATTAAAATATATTTAATAATATATGTTTTATAAAATAATTAATATTTGATTAATTTAAAATAATGAATGGTCGCAGTGGGTATTAGGAGAAGGAGAGCAAAACCCTGTGTCTCTCTTTGTTCTTCTATCTAGTCTCTACTCTCGCCCTGCAGGTAGGGTGATAGAAAAAGGAAAGTATGATCTCAGAAAAAGAGAGAGTGATAATGGAAGAGCTTGTGAAGGGCCAGGAAGCTGCTACCCAACTCAAGGGTCTTTTAGAAAACCCCATTGGGAGTGAAGACTCTCTCTCACTCTCACCAGAGGAACTCTTGGAGAATGTGCTCTCATCTTTCTCACAAGCTATTTCTATCATCAACGTCTCTTCTTTCCAACCACCACCTCCTCCTCCTGCACCTCACGTTCTCGGTTCCACCAGTTATTCAATGTCTGAAGATTGCAGTGTAAATTGGAACAGATCCGAACAGGGTCAAAGCGATGAAAGAGATAGCCACAGTATAAGGTTATGTGTTCTCTTTCTCATCAATCTATCATCTATGTACTGCCTGCTTTAATTCTACATATACGTTCTGCTTTTATTTCTATCATTAACGTCTCTTCTTTCCAACCACCTCCTCAAGCTCCTGCACCTCACGTTCCCAGTTCCTCCAATTGCAGTGTAAATTGGAACAGATCCCAACAGGATCGAAGAGGTAGCTACAAAAGGTTATATGTTCTGTTTCTCATCAATCTATGTGGTGCCTGCTTTAATTCTACAAACCCTTATTTCCTCGCCGATCGATTGAACGGATATATAATTAATGGATCAAATTTTTCTGTATGTAATTTTTTTTTTTCACATATGCGTTTTTATTATCTAGCTAGCCACATGTTATGTATATATAAATTCCTGAATTGTTGTTCCGCAGGAAGGGGAAGGGTGCACCGACACGGACCGAATTCTCAAACACCACTGACGACGGTTATGTATGGAGGAAGTATGGAGAAAAGCCATTTCCGAATTCTAAATTTATTCGGTACGTTATTGAGACTCTATTTATGTATATAAGTAAACATGATTATTTATACATAATTCATTGCACCTCACATAACTGTTTTTCTTTGTTTGGTTTCTTTCCCTTCCCAAGAAATATGTGATAGGACCTTGGAGTTAGATTTGGCTCCAAATGAACAATTCGCACCTCAATTGCCCAAGTTATATGGGAAATTAGGGGGAAGAGAGAGGGTATGGAGTAAAATCAAAATGGGCTGTTATGGACATAGAACAATTTGGATCTCTCAAGGAGCTTAGCTATAGGGAAGTAGGAATATTCATTTTCCTATGATTCTTATTTTTAATAAAAAAATTCTAAAAAAATGCTTCTATCTTATATTTATACAAGTTTATACATTATTTTTCATTTTTGAATTCTTATCAAAATTACTTATCGGAGAACACTTTTCTTAGTCTCTTTCTGACTCATACCAAAACCAGAAATTATACTCAAGCTAATGTGCCAATGTGCAAAAACCAACATAGGGGACTGCTTCCTACCTGAATGCTCAAAGTACCCTATCACGTACACATATATAAAAGATGTGATGGGGTTATTGTTTTAGTATTTGTCTGAGGGGATATTTTATGAGGGTTGTTTTTATAAGGTTATTACACAAACATATTCTACAATGATGAGATATTGTCCGCTCTCCACAATGATGAGATATTGTCCGCTTTGGGCCTTAGCCCTCACGGTTTTGCTTTTGGTCATCACCCAAAAGGCCTCTCTCAATCATTGAAGTATGTTTGTACTATATAAGTTGTTATTTATTGTCTTATTTTAACGATGTGGGACTTGTTTGTATCCCAACAAGATGATACAATACTAGAAAAAGTTAAAATTAAGCTTTTCTGTAGGGGAAAATTTTCCTCTTATAAATATGATATTAAAAACAATTGTCTTATCCTATTAAGGTCAAATTTCATAATATATATTTATGGAGGAAAAATATAAGAAATTTCATAAGCTAATTTTTTTTCCATATAAGTGTTTTTTAAGAATGAGAGAATTTATAACAGAGTAATAGTTGATAGTGTATTTTAAATTAAAATTGAATGGAAAATATTATACTTAGTGGAGTACAAGGCTTGTATGATAGCTTGGAGGAGGATACTTACAATTGAAAGTTTGAGAGCTTATTTATAATGTGTGTAAGTTGGTAATTCTAGAGTTTTTATAGTTTAATATTTTTTTATAAATTATCTCAAATCCTAATACTTATTTCTAGACTTTTCTTACAATTTTTGAAATTTGTAATATGTTTTGACATCCTTCCTTGATACAAATTTCAGAAACTTCTGAACATATATAGTTTGTAATTTGTTCTTTTGTCTTATAATATTTGAGTTGAATTTGCTTTGTTAGATGTATTGCAAGTTTCATAGATGTTTAGATCTCTTTCCATTTCTTGAATTTCTTCTTGAGGTTGTTGTACTGGAACGAAAATGTTTCTAACAACTTTTTCTTCTTCCCATTTTCAAAGAGAATTTTTATCAACCTCAACATCTCGACTAATGTTGAGCTTCTTCATTTGTAGGTAGTGGACTTAGTAGCCTTTTGATTGCGTGTGATACAATAAGTAGTCTTGTCTTCTAGTTTGTGTCTCTTTTCAATAAAACATATATAGCAGATAGATCCAAATTCTCGTAGATGTTTAGCTGATGACTTTCTCCCACTCTAAGCTTCAATTGAAGTCTTGTCTTGAATTGCCTTGGTTGGACATTTGTTATGTAAACTATGGTGTAAACTTGTCTTCATCTTCATAGAACTTGTTGAACTTGTGTGGATTGTACTCTTTGTCTCAATCACTTCTAAATACTTTTATAAGTTTTTTTTTCACTTTGTTTCTCCACAGAGGCTTTAAACTTGAATATTTTGAAGACTTCTATTTTTTATTTAATAAAGTAAACCCATGTTATGAAGTGATATTATCTTTATCGGTTCGCAAATATCAATGTGAATCCACACCATCAAGTCTTTTGCTCTCTGTGTTTTTCCAATGGAAAGCTATAGTCTATGTTGTTTCTCAAGAAGACATTCTTCACAGGCTTCATTATTTTCTTTTAGAGTTGAAAAATCTCTCATCATATTCTTTTGATATAGCAAGGCATAAGTGTTGAAGTGGCCAAATCTACGATGCCATTGCCATGAACCATCAACTTGCACTTGTGATTTGATGGAAACGTTTGTGGCGTATTTGAAATTTATTAGAAAACCTCTATTTTCTTTCTCCATTTTACCTTGGGTTATTTCTCGTCTTTTGTTACCATAGATAATGCACATTTCACCTTTAAAGTGAAAAGCATAGCCTATCTCCATCATTTCACCAATGCTCAAGAGATTTTCTTTAAGATGAGAAACAAGTAGAACATCATTAATGAGTCTCATACCTTTCTTAGTCTATACGATGGCGATGCCTTTGCCATTTGACTCCACCATGGTGCCATTTTTTTATTGTTCTTAAACTTTCACAAAGTCATCAATTTCATTGAAAATACTCTAATCATTAGCCCTGTGGTTACTGCAACTGTTATCAAAGTACCAATTGCCACTTGTTTCATTACTAGAATATGGGGTGGCATAGAAAAAAAAATGTATCTCATTGTCTTGCTCTTCAACAAAATTTGCTTGTTGTCTATTTTTGTTGTGATAATTCTTTTCAACATGTCCAAATTTCTTCTAGTATTGACATTGAGGCTTTTCATGATGCCAACAATTTCTTTCCAGTGACTTATCTCCTTATAGATGTCACATGGAGGATATTTGCTTTGATTGAACTTAAAGAAACTTTCAAAAAATCTAACATGAAGTACCAAAATAAGTGGTAAACATTCCAAGCCTACTCCTCATTGTCCCAACCTAATGTATTGTGTCATCACGACCAAACCAAATTTGAGGAAAAACGCACCGTGACACTCTTTGTTCTCCCAATCCAAGGTATCATGTCGTCATGGCCAAATGAAACAGAGTGAAACAGCAGAGAAATTCAATTGCAAATCTGTAACAATGTTACAATTTTAAGAACAATAACGTCACAAAATCACACAGCTTCAAACGATTCTCACGATTCGCGAACAGTACTTCCTTATCTGAGTCTACCTGAACGGAGATAAGAAACCCAGAAGAAATGAACAATGGAGGAAGGAGAAAACTAGAGAGAAAGAATGACAGAATATTCAGAGAGAAGGTTCATACCATCAACATGCATTTCTCCACGATCATAATCCTTCAAATACACGTTCTCCTTATGCTCACGTGTACTTCTCCTAACCGTTTCCTTATTTCCCGGGTCTTGTGCCACGCGTCCTGAAGGACCATCTAGTAATTTTGATGCCAATTCCCCATCTTGCCCGAGAATCCGAGTAAGGGCTCGCTGTAGGGTACCAATTCGTGCTCGGGAATGCCCAATTGTTTGAAAGTCTTCCAATATAGGATATCGGTCGAGCTCCCTTGATCCAGAAGCGTCTTCCTCATAATGCAGTCGTTGATTTCCACACTGATTACCATTGGGTCGTCTTACACCGGGTTGACTCCTTGGAAATCCTTGTTAGTGAATGTGATAGGTGGCATATGAATCGAGCTCGTTCGTTCTACTGCTTTTATGTTTCTCTCAGGTGTCTTTTTTGGGCCGACGAGGTTCCACCTCCTCCCGCGAATCCCCCGGCTATCGTATTTATTACTCTTCTCGGCTGATTGTGGTCTCACGGCTGATCACTCTGCCCGTGGGACTTGTTACGTTCCCTGTGCCTATACTTCGGAGGAGCCCTTTCTTGGTCTTCTCTTTTGTGGTCTTCTCTTTTGTGGTCTCTCCTGCTAGGATAACTGTCATGATTCCTCCTTCCCGAAGATTGGACAAAACTTTGAAGATGTCCCGATTTGACGAGATCCTCTATGCGATCTCGAAGGGTCGTGCACTCTTCGGTGGTATGCCCCCGGTTTCTATGAAACTGACATGTTTTTGTTTTGTTTGCATGGGGTGGGGTCCTGGCTCGACGAGGTACTGTGAGGACTTCGGTGGCGAGGGCCTGTTCTAGCACCTTGGTTCGGCTGGAGTTAAGGGGTGTGTATTGTGCATATCGGGGTCCTCGGGTATTCTTTTCCTGATCGAAAGTGTCCCGCGGACGGGATCTAGGGACGAATTCCTTCTCCTTCTCGTGAAACAACTCGGGTCGGTTCTGGTTCCTGAATTCGGCTAACTCCTCCATCTGCATGTACTTTGTGGCCCTTTGTCTTAATTCGTCTAAGTCTCGGGACAGATTCTTACATAGGATGTTTACAAAGGGCTCTGGCCTCAGTGCCGTGGTGAGGTGGTGCATTGCCACCGCTGGGTCTAGGTCTCGGATAGATAGGGTCATCTTCCTGAACCATGAAGGTTGTTAGAGGTTCCTTCTTTTCCTGGCGAATATTGACCAACGCGATGGAGGTGAGCTGATGGGGTCGGCTCGTGGCAAACTGTATTACAAATCTAGAGGACAAGGTTGTGAACGAGTCCATCGATCCTAGGGGAAGTCTTGTAAACCAACGCAATGCTGGTCCTTTCAGTGATGTGGGAAAAACCTTACACATGACAGCGTCTTCGTCGGTATATAAACCGACTTGAGTGACGAAGGCATCAAGGTGTTCCTCGAGGTTGGTGGTTCCGTCATACTTTTCCAAGGCCAAGTTTTTCCAGTTGTCCAGCAACCGGGCTCCGGCGATGTCGGGAGTAAACGGTGTTTTCCCTTATCGTCGTTGCTGATCTAGAGTTGTTGTCGTCACTCCGCCAGGCGGCTGAAGAATTCTTGTCTCTTTGTACCATCCCGATGATTCCCCCTGATCACACGTTGACTGAGTGTTGGGGGTGCCGTGGGACGGATGCCAGGATCAATTATCGCTCCTAAGCTCCGCGTTTTCCTTTCTCAGGACCGATAGTTCGTGGGCGTCCTTCTCCCGAAGTCTCTTTAATTCCAACATTTCGGCCTTCAGCTGTTCTATGGCCGATGATGGGTTGGGGGGTTGGGAGCGATCCACGTATGACTCCTCCATTTCTTCCTCGTTTTGATTCGTCTACTGTCTCGGTTCTCGGGGAATCCCGAGGTTGTGAATTGTTGCGTTCTCTTGCTGACTCCTAGTTGCTACCATCTTACTTCAGGGTCGAGAATCGTTTTGGTTTCGGCCCCACGATGGGCGCCAAAATGTTCTTGCTTAGAAACACTCCTCCTGTTGTTCCTTCTCCTTGATCTGCTAAGTCTTCGGTGCCGACCGGATACTGTCTTCAAAGGGTGGGGAGGGTACCTGCAAAGGCACTCCGACGCTCAAGTAAGTATTCGGTATAGAGCAATAAAGGCTTTTATACTAGATAATCATACCTCTCCAATCAGTCCCATCAATACCGTATTTATAGTGATGTTCTTGGGCCTAGTGGGCTTTCTGGATTATTGGGCTAGTGCATGAGGTTTTGCACACTGATTACAGCTGACGTGGATGTGTTTAATGTAATTAATACATGTTTTCCTTTTTCTCATGGAAATTCGTTACAGCTGAATACCCATTTGGTATGTTCATCGGCCGAGGGGGTATTCGGCATGTTCATTGACCGAAGGGGTATTCGACCTTCCCCTTGGACGGAGGGGTATTCGGCCTTTTCCTTGGCCGAAGGGGTGTTCGGCCTATTCATTGGCCTGATGGGTACTCGGCCTGAGGGGGGTACTCGGCCTATTCATTGGCCTGATGGGTACCCGGCCTGAGGGGGGTACTCGGCCTAAGGGGGTATTCGGCCCATTTGTTGGCCTGAGGGGTACTCGGCCTAAGGGGGGTACTCGGCCTATTCATTGGTCTGATGGGTACTCGGCCCATTTTCCTTTTTCTCATGGAAATTCGTTACAGCTGAATACTCATTCGGTATGTTCATCGGTCGAGGGGGTATTCGGCATGTTCATTGATCGAAGAGGTATTCGGCCTTCCCCTTGGACGGAGGGGTATTCGGCCTTTTCCTTGGCCGAAGGGGTGTTCAGCCTGTTCATTGGTCGAAGGGGTGTTTGACCTATTCATTGGCCTGATGGGTACTCGGCCTGAGGGGGATACTCGGCCTAAGGGGGGTACTCGGCCTATTCATTGGCTTTATGGGTATTCGGCCTGAGGAGGTATGTTTAGTGTTGACTTTGACCGGGTGGTGTGTAGTCCTAGTACAATTCTAAATTCTTTTTTCTAAAGCCACACATTAACTTTAACATATACTGATCTACTTCTACATTTTTTCTTGTTTTCCTTCGGAATACAACATTCAATACTAAAGTATATAGTAATACGATAAAACTTTTCTTTAAACTTGATAGGTATTTTATGATTCTTCTATTAATGTGTCAATTTTCTAAATGAACAGGTAATTAAATATATAATTACCAGACAATTTCTGTTTCAAGATCATGTAACTCACTTTTGTACTCAACGATAATTAATTTGTAGGAGTTACTTCAGATGCACTTACGGTTACGGGCATGATCAACGTTGTATGGCAACCAAACAGGTGCAGCAATGTGAAGAGAATCCTGATATGTACGAAATAACGTACATTGGCAACCACACATGCAATGCCAATCTCCCCACTAGGTTATACATCAATCTTCTTCCATCTATCAATATATTCTTTATCTTTCCCACGACTCTATATATCTATTCCATAATATTCTTCCATTGATTCATTGCATGTCATCTTGTTGCTCTTTATCATATATAGTTTTTTTTTTTTTAATTCCATAGTCGATATGTTTTATAGTCGAATATGTGAACCATAATTAAATAAAATAAGTTTTGATTCATTGTGATTATTTATTAGTAAAGTGTCAAATTGATTTATAATATTTAATTATTATATTTTTTAATTTGAAAAATATAATTTAAACAATCTAATTCCCCTCTGTCTCTCTTTTATTTCTTTGATATCAAATTACTTTAATTTCTTATTACTTCTCTTCACTTATCTTTTATTTATTTGTTTTTCTCTTCCTTCTATTTTTTACTCCTTTACGAAACACAGTATTTAAGTAAGTAAATTTAATGAGACAAGATTCACATATTGAATCATTGAAAAAAATATATTTAAAATTGTGTTAAAAAATAATAATAAAAAATGATCATTATTTTAAAAGGATAAAATTAATTCAAAATTTGAAAAATTAAGGACTAAAATAAATCTTTAGAAAGATAAAAAAAAATAAAAAAAATATTAAAAATAAGAAGAAAACTGGTAATATAGTGGCACATATGTCCGAACATAGTTTTGTCTCATTGCTTTACACCATGGAATTTTATATTAGGTAAAATTAAAATACATCGAAATTCATTTTAATTTCTATAAAAGCAATATATTTTTTATTCTTGTATTTATCAAAAGTGTTGCAACTTTTATTTTATTTTCAACTGGTTAAATTGTTGGACTAGTCCTTAAATTATTTAAGAGTTTTTAAGATAATTCTTAATAAATTAATTTTTAAGTGGAGTGAGTTAGATGCATGAGAGCTTAAGTTAAATACTTATTTTTGTTATTCTAATTTTTCATATTAATAAAAAAAGTCTTTTAAAATCCTATATGAATTACTCTCTTAAAATTTCCATCTAAACACACAAGAAAATAAATTTGAATTTTAGATATTTTAATGAACTAAAACATAGTATACTATTTATCTTATCAAGGGAAGTTGAAATTTTGAGGTTATATATGTTAGACTTGTTAATCTTCATATATGTTTAGATTTAATATAGATAATATTCCTTTATGTTGATTTTAGGTTCAGATCTGAAAGAATTCCTGGTAATTTTTCACAGATGCATTCTATATTCTAGATGGTAAAGTATGATATGTTCTATATAATTAATGACATGCATTTGCTATATTCTTGAGTTGTTGCATTATTAACCTGAATTTTGACTTATTTCTTTTAGTAACGATCCTGAATTCAAACAGTTACATGATGAAGAAACTCAGTTACAATCCTTACCATTATAATTATTAGATTTAGAGAAATAATCACATTTTTTTAAAAGATCTCGGTTAGAAGTCATTTTTTCGTTTTTACATTTAATCTATAACACATTATCGCAGGAATGATGAAAGATTGCATGAAGGATCAGATCACGAAATGCAGAATCGGGAGAATGATAGCTTATATAGTCAATTTCGAGGAAAACAGAAGATAATTGATTCTGAAAGCTCATGGTCCTTATTAACTTCAAGTTCTGACAGAAACACTGATACAACATTGTCAAATTCACACGATTATTCTGGCCCCTCGTGAATTTATCATGTTTATAGTTTTCGTTAATTACTGTAAGTTAATGTATTTTGGTTTTTGATTTCAATACTCGTGAGAACTGAAATTATGAATGAGAGGAAACATATAGAATTATATATCTTAATATTGGGCATGTAGTTTATTTAACTATAATGTATCAATAAGAAAATAACATTTTGTTGACATTTCATCTGGTAGATAGTGGTGGAGCTAGAGAAGAAATTTTGAATCCATTTGGGAAAGTAATGCTTCTGAAATCAAGTATAGAGTTTCTTAGCTTGTATGAGAGGGAAGTAATCAAGAATAAAGTTTCCAAAACAATAATATCATTGAAAAGTTTCAAATATCTGCAACTCTCAGTCCTTGTGTTCATATTACATACAAAGATGCTACTATTCATTGCTAGTGTTTCCATGATGATCCTGTTCTAAACATGTGAAATAAAGACTTCTACCTCATAATCATCACCACCACTACAGTTTAATGAGATCAAACACCATACAACATCAACCAATTAATTTATCAATAATTCAAGTTATAACTTACTTAACTACTCATCCTTATTTAGAGAAGATTAGTGTTCTCTGAGGACTCAAAAGAAGAAAAAGAAGGAAATTTTATTTTTTCCCTCCAAATTCTTTAAAGAATAAACTTTTAAAATTTATTTATGAAAAAAGACTTTATATATTTTTTCTTAACAGGTTAATTTGACCTCAAATCATAATAACTAAAATTCATAAAATTAAATCTTAAAGTTTTACAATTAATAATCACAACATCGATGAAATCAATAAAAAAACTACAATATGAAAATAAAAACGCACGGTGTGGAAGGGGAGACCTTGTTTATGGTAAATTTTTGTTTCTTTTGTCGGCATAGCTTTTCCATCGATTTGTGTAATAATTCCTTTATTTAAAAAAAAAATAATTAAGATACAGTGAATATGGTCAAATCTTGTATGCTTTTTTATATATAGAGATATGGAAGCAATTGGATACTTTCCTAAAAGTTTACATTAAAATAGTGCAAGTTGATGAAAGTTACTTGAAACTAAGAGAGAAAGCCAAAATTTTAATAAAATAAAATTTAATATATTATGAATATAATATTGCGATGAGCGTTTACCAATGGTCTACGCAGAAAATGGGAAAAAACTAAAGCTCTACATAAGAGACTATAATGGCATTGGCTAAGTGATGGGACAATTGCACTGAATTGTTTAGGTTTTTAATATATTGAATTAACTGCACTTTTTTCACCTATATTTTATAATTTACAAATTTTGTTATTTAATTTTTAAATGGTACAATTTATTATTTTATTTTAAAATTTTACTTATTTTAGCATTCTATCAATTAATCACTTAATGCTATTAATCGACTGCTTACTTAATAGTTATTCACATAACATATTATACTGACCGATGATATGAAACTTAATATATTAGTTATTCAGATAACATATTATATTGACTCTTGATATGAATAGTAGTGTTTAAAAGATTATGTTGTTATGTAATTCCATTGAAATAACTCAAGTAATTATTATATTAAAGTTGCGTTTAAATATTTTCATACCATAATGATGTTAGTTGTATTTATAAGAGTTTAAAATATGGTAGTGTTTTGGTATTTGTCTAAAAATCTCAAATAGTTTAACAATTGAGGTTAAAAATATTTTATAAATACTTTTTTTCTTAATTTACCAAGGCACATTTTCAACAATAAAATCTTGATGTCTCAGTGAGCATCAAAGTGAATAATATTTTGAATATGGTGACCTTAATGTTATTAGTAAACTTATGGTCGGATCATTGACGCTAGAAAGAGGATCTAGCCTTAATTAAAAAACTTATTTTTTATATGTTTAAAAGTCTTATATTGCTTAGGAATCAAGATTAAGAATAATTTCTTTCTTCTTAATGTACAAAGATACATTTTCAAGGACAAAAAAACATGATGACCTAACGAGTGTCAAAACAAACATTACCTGATAATTTTAATGATGTTAGTGAACTTACAATTGAAACAAGTAGATTCCATAAAAGAATCATTGCTTGTAGGAAGAAATTAAAATAGAAAGAGTTTTTATTGTTGTCATTATAATCTTTCTTATGAATAAAAAATAATATATATTATAAAAATTAAAGTCTTAAAATAAGAATTTAAAAGTTAAAATACGATATGGGCCAAAGGTATCCCTCCTAAGGTTCAAGTTTTAGTGTGGCAGTTGGAAGCGGACAGGTTACCTACCCGGGATAACCTCCTTTTGAGAGGGGTTAATCTAGAAGGACAAAATGGTTGTGTTTTTTGCGAAGAAGGCTCGGAGTCCAGCAAGCATTTGTTCCTCTTGTGCCCAAAGGCTTATGCTGTTTGGGTCAGATTATTCACTTGGTGGGGAGTGTCAGGGGTGCTTATCAACGAACTTAGGAGTTTTTGTCATCAATATATGGGATTGGTGAGTGGCAGTAAGGGTATTAAGCGAGTTTGGTCCTTTGTTTGGTTTGCAGGTATATGGCAGTTATGGAAGGCTCGAAATGAGAACATTTTCAAAGACAAACTCTTTAAGGTGGAAGAGATCGTGTTCATGGCACAGTTGAGATCGTGGGAGTGGTGTACGGTTGCTAGAATGGTGTCTTCTTCTTTTCCAGAATGGTTGATGAACCCATTGTCCTGTGCAAGTGTCCCTTAAATTTGTTTTTTCTTATTTTTAGGTCATCTTGTTTTTAATTATGACTTGCACTTCTTGTGCACAATTTTCTTGGAATTAATAAATTCTTGGCTTATCAAAAAAAAAAATAAGGTCATCTTGTTTTTAATTATGACTTGCACTTCTTGTGCACAATTTTCTTGGAATTAATAAATTCTTGACTTATCAAAAAAAAAACTAGGAAGAAAAAAAGACACTTCATGCCTCTAAAAAAATAAAATAAATTAGTATTTGCACAAAAAAATAAAAGTGGATAGTTATTATTTTTAAAGGTAATTATGTGTATATATATATATATTATTTTATCCTTAAATATAAGTTAATGAAAAAAATAAAATACAACATAAAAATATAATTGTCTTTGAAAAAGTGGACACCAAAAAAGGATATCTCCTTTATATGTTGTTGTAGATAATTATAATATAAAGGGATTCAAATCACTTGTCTTCTCGATGTGTCTCAATTCATATCTTATTAATAAAAAAATTGACATCATTAAAAATATTTACCTATATTTTTATTCCTTTTATTTGTCCTTATTTTTATCCCCTTAATAAGAGAATAAAGGAAATTTTTTTAGAAGCAAAAAAAGGAATACCTTTTTTTAGCAGTTTGATTGGTCTGCATTGTTAACTTTTTGTTTGTAATGTTATTTATTTTGTGTTGAGGTGATGAATATCTTTAATTTTGTGAGTGTAAAAAAAGTATCTTAACAATTAATGGACATCTCGTGTAAGACCATAAAAGAAATACAAAATAGCGAGAAAAAAAAATAAATTCAACATAAAACACAAAAAATTTAATTAATACCGTTGTCATGTTAATATTAAAAAGATAACGATACAAAGAAATTAATGATAAATATTAAAATATTAAAAAAAAACTACTAGTATAGGTGTTAAAAGTTTCTATCTTAAAATTCTAGAGACTAAAAAAATAATTTAAAAAATAATTATGAAAATTAAAAAAAATTATTTTAAATTATAGAAATTAAAATATAAAGTAAGTAACATTATAAATAAAAAAATAGTTGTTATTGTTATTATTTTTGTATGATCGTTTTCCTCTGCATGGCAATTATTTATTTGATTTTGAAACAATAATGTGTCACTTAATAATTTATTATGCAATCATAAACAATTTGATTATTAATTTGTATCATATTTAATAATAATTAATATTAACTATCTATTAAATCATCATATTCTTCATTTTTTTTCTTCCTAAACTATTAAATAACATATTACTATGTATAGAACCAAATAAATTATCGTCACGCAAATTTAATAAGCACACGTTACTCATATATACATATCATTATAAAAAATCAATAATTTTTTAAAAAAGAAAATGAAGTATAGAGATTAAAAATTTTATTTTAAATTATTGAGATTAAAAAAGTAAAATAAATAAAATTATAAAACTAAAAAATATTTTAACTTTTTTAAGATAAAAAAATGTAGACAAATACAATATAAAAAAAAACACAGAACTACTCATTCTATTTATAAAAATAGAAACATAAAAAAAAAAAAAAAAAAAAAAAAGGTTTAAAGATCCATTATTTAATCACGTTCATCGTGAAAACAATAATGGTCTGTAAAGAGATATATGGAATGAACGTGGAACCTGATTTATACTTGTTTGTGAATGAAAAGTATGATAAATTTGGAGGAGAGGGTAAGAAAAATCAAGAGTTTGGTCTTAGGGACCGAGACCGAGAGAGTGAAAGATAAGCAAGCAAAAGAGATGATTAGATCTACTGTCTCTGATACAACTGGACTTAGGAAAGGAACATGGACACCAGAGGAGGACCAGATATTGATTGATTATCTCACCAGATATGGCGACTCGAATTGGAGCCTTCTCCCCAAGTTAGCAGGTAACCAAACTCTCTATTATATATATATTTCTTCCAATTTTTTATCTATCATATTATAACAATTCAAGCAAAACCATATTCTGTTAACTATGTATGTAAAACTGGATTCGTACGTTTTTCAGGTTTGGAGAGGAGTGGAAAAAGTTGCAGGTCAAGGTGGATGAATTACTTAAGGCCAGGTATGAAAAGAGTGAACAACACCCAAGAAGAAGATGAGACTAACATGGTAATTTGTGGTGAAAGTGAAAGTGAAAGTATGATCTCAGAAAAGGATCGAGTGATAATGGAAGAGCTTGTTAAGGGCCAGGAAGCTGCTACCCAACTCAAGGTTCTTTTAGAGAACCCCATTGGGAGTGAAGACTCTCTCTCACTCTCACCAGAGCAACTCTTGGAGAATGTGCTCTCATCTTTCTCACAAACTATTTCTATCATTAAAGCCTCTTCTTTCCATTCACCTCCTCCTGCTCCTGCTCCTGCACCTCACGTTCCCGGTTCCACCAGTTATTCAATGTCTGGAGATTGCAGTGTAAATTGGAACAGATCCCAACAGGGTCAAAGGTATCTATTTCTAGGCTTTTCTTGTGATTTGAGAAATTTGAAGGATGTTCTAACTTCTAACACTCCTTATACAAATGTCGTTAACTTCTAAACATAGTTTGAAGCTTGCTTTGTGTTGCAATACTTTGCATTGTATGATTCTTCATAGCACTTATATGCTCAAACATAGTTGTAGTGCAAATTTCATATATGTTTGGATTTTCTGCTATTTCTTGAATTTCTTCCGGAAGTTGTTTTTAAGAACTTTTTCTTCTTTTTAATGAAGTAGACCCATGACATATTCTAGAAAAGTCATTAGTGATGAGGATGAAGTACATGTTGTCATGAAGTGATGGTACATATCTTCATTAGTTCGCGAATGTCAACTTGAATCTACTCCAACATGTCTTTAGCTTTTCATGCTTTTCTAATAAAAAGTAGTAGTCTATGTTGATTCTTGAGAAGACATCCTTCAAAAGCTTCATTATTTTCTTTTAGAGTTGATAGATCTCTTATAATATTTTTTTTTTATATAGCAAATTCAAGATATGAGTGTTGAAGTGACCAAACATTTGACGTCATAGCCATAAATCATCAACTTGCGCTTGCGTTTTCATGGCAAAGCTTGTAACATATTTGAAATTTATTATTTTCTTTATCAATTTTAACTTGAGTTATTTGTTGTCTTTTGTTATCATGCATATGTCACCTTCAAAGCGAAAAGCATAGCCTTTTTCCATCATTTGACCAACACTCAAGAGATTTTCTTTAAGATGATAAACAAGTATAACATCATTAATAAATCTCGTACCTTTCTTGGTCTCTACCATGACAGTGTCATTGTCTTTTAACTCCACCATGGCGTCATTTTCCTATCTTACTTGACAAAGTGATCAATTTCTTTAAAGATGCTTTGATCCTTAGCAATGTAATTATTATAATCGTTCTCCAAGTACCAATTGCCATTTGTTTCTTTACCTGAATATTAGGTAGCATAGAAAAAGATATTGTTCATTGTCTTGCTCTTTAGCAAAATTTGCTAGTTGGCTAATTTTGTTGCGACAAATTTTTTCAACATGTCCAAATTTCTTGCAGTGTTGATATATATCAAAACTTTCCACGATGCAAACAATAAATTTTTCAAGTGACTTATCTTCTTATAGATGCCACATGGAAGATACTTGTTTTGGTTGAACTTAGAAAAATTTCTAGAATTTTTTTATTTCTAGAGATTTCTCTATTCAAACACAAGAAAATAAAATTGAATTTTAGATATTTTAATGAACAAAAGCATATGATACCTTTTTTTTTTTTATGTTATCAAGAGAAGTTGAAATTTTGAGGTTATATATGTTGGACTTGTTAATCTTCCCATATGTTTAGAATTAATGCAGATAATATTCCTATATGTTGATTTTGGGTTCAGATCCGAGAGGTTTCCTTGTAATTTTTCACAGATGCATTTTATATTCTAGATGTTACAGTATGATATGTTCTATATAATAAATGACATGCATTTGGCATATTCATGAGTTGTTGCATTATTAGCTTTAATTTTGACTTATTTCTTTTGGCTTAAGATCATGATTCAAACTATTACATGATGAAGATACTCATTTCCAACCCTTACCATATGTGTTTGATAATTATTAGATTTAGAGAAATCATCACATATCGTTAAAAGCTCTCGATTAGAAGTTACTTTTTCGTTGTTATATTTAATATATAGCACATTATCACAGGGATGATGAAAGACTGCATGAAGGATCAGATCACGAAATGCAGAATCGGGAGTATGATAGCTTACATAATCAATTTCGAGGAAAACAGAAAATGGATTTTGAAAGATCATGGTCCTTATTAACTACAAGTTCTGACAGAAACACTGATATGTCAAATTCACACGACTATTCTGGTCCCTCTTAAATTTATCATCTATAGTTTCCATTACAAATAAGCTATGAAGCACCGATACGATACGCGTATTGGATACGACACGTATCCGATACGGCGATACGCTTATTTTAAAATATATAGGATATGATACTTGTAAGATACGTGTCGTCATATATATCAATGTTCATACAATATAATAATTGTGTACTTGTAATTTTGATCAAAATTCATAAACATTAAATATATAATTGCTATTTTGCAAATCTAAATTAAAAACATACTTATTGTACATTACTAAAAATAATTATAAACCATTTCATCATAAATTACTTTTTATTATTTACAAATAGAAATAATATTATCAATTTCATTCCTTTCTTAAAATTATCTATGTAGAAGACAATTTTCATTTACAGTTTATCAAGGACCAATATTTCTATGTTTCTATATTAAAAATGTTTATATATCTTATTTAGTTGTAATGGATATTTCATAATTTTTCAAAAATTTGAATACTTTATCGATACGTATCACCGATAAGTATTAGTGAAGTATCTGAGAGTATCGAGATTGAATAAAATTTTCATAATATTTTCAAAAGTTAGAATACTTCATTGACACGTATCGGTGAAGTATCCAAGAGTATCGTGTCGGATACGTATCGGATACGGATACGTGAAGCAAATTGAAGTATCTTCATAGCAAATAAGTTAATGCATTTTGATTTTTGATTTCTTTACTCATTAGAACCGAAATTATGAATGAGAGGAAGCATAGAACTATCTTAATATTGGGAATGTAGTTTATTTAACTATAATGTATCAATAAGAAAATAACATTTTTTTGACATTTCATCCCGTTGATAGTGGTGGAGTTAGAGGAGAAAATTTGAATCCATTTGGGAAAGCCATGCTTGTGAAATGGAAGGGTCTCTCTCTCGACTTCTAGTAGCAGCTGAAGGCAGAATTTTGCTCACATCTATCATGTATAGGGAATAAAACGCAACTTTGAAATAGGTATAAAAACTAAATGATTAATTAAACTTCATCGAATAAAATTATTATGCATAATACAACTTACCTTTTATTCAAGTTGATAATATTTTTAAAGTATTTTTTGGAAGATTAAAAGTATATTTATAGACAAAAAAAATTAGAAAGAGTAAAAGCATTTATTTTCTAAAAATATTTTTCAGAAGTATATTTTAGAAATAACTCACAATTTCATATTGCTAATAATAAAAAATATATTATTTATAATAATCCATCATAAAATCAATGAGTCGTACGTTTGGAAATGATGCTTTAAAAAAAATTCTCAGTGCATAAAATATAATTTAAAAAATAAAAATAAATTAATGAGTGTCTTAATTACTAAAAACAAAAAGTTAAGAAAGGAAAAAGTAAAAAGAATAAGAGTGGTACATAAAGAATGATTAGAGAGAGAGAGAGAGTAGAGAATGAAGGGTGAATAAAGATAATTTTTGAAAATAAAATTTATTTTAAAAGTAAATTAAAAAAATATTTAGCATTTAAAGAAAAATAAAGATTGGAAGTGTATCTGTTAAAAAGGGAAGGTGTGTATCCTTATTCCTTACTATAAGATTTACATAGCATTTTTGACGATTTAAACTGAGTCAAGATACTATTTTTAAGATTTACAAAGCAATCTTGACTGTTTAAGCTTTGAGTCAAGATACTATTTTTACCTTTGATTCTTATAATAATTGAGGGCTTTTAAGAGATTCTATTTAACGATATTGTTTTCATTATTTTTATTAACTTTTATCTTTTTCGATTATTATTCTTATTATTTTTATTTCAAATTTAATTTAATTTTTAAAATATCAATAATTAAAAAAAATTATATTGTAATATAAATTATTAATCATAAATCTAAAATATTAATATATTAAAAAAGAATTTTTATTATAATTTTTAACATAATATAATTTATATATTCAAAAGTATTTACTTATTATAAATTTTGATCATATAGAATAAACATTTACTTTGTGTATTATACATGTTAAATACCAACATTTAATAGGAATGTAACAAAAGCGTTATATAATTTAATTGCATAAACTTGAAAAATGAAAACATTTAAATATTTAAATAAAACAAAGATGTGTATAATATGAACTTATGGTCGTAAATAACAAATTATTTTTGAATCATTACACTGTAAACTTTTGTATCCAAGTCGAGACCTTGTCTGAAAATAGAGTTTCTTAGCTCTGTGAGGGGGATGTAATCAAGAATAAAGTTTCCAATGTAACAATAATATCTTTGTTTTAAAAGTTTCGAATATCTGGAAGTTTGAGTCTTGATGTTACTATTACAGACTCTACAAAGATGCTAATATTCATAGCTGATGTTTCGATAATGGCCCTGTTCTCAACTTGTGAAATAAATTTTGTGATTGTTTTTATATGTGAGATTCTCGTGAGAAGTTCAATTAAATAAACTCTTGTCTGAAAAGTATTATAAAATTTTAGTATTTTAAATTGGACAAGATTGTTATTACTGCAAGTGCTATTATTTTTCTTGCTTAAAGTCGGTCATTGTCAATAACATATTATTCAACGATGTCTATCCACAGCATTTTGAAGAGGACCATGGACTTGGTCGCTTGAGTAATCATTGCAACAAAATAAAGTGTATATAATTCAAAAAACAAGAGAAGTTTCCTTTATCATCGGCATGTGAAAAGCGATTATTATAAAATTATAGTTAGTAGAAGGCAACCAGGTGGAGAAATAATTAAACCGTCGCTCATGATATGAATACATGTTTTTTTTTTTAATGGCTACATGCAAAGTTAGATCAGAGAATGGTGGCTTACCTTTATGTAAAGTCAAGAAAATCACCAAACTTTGAAAAAGATGCTAGACTTGTTAACCTCCTTGGTTCTAAATCCAAAACATTCAGCCAGGTAGTTTGCACAAACAAATGACATTCATTATACACGCTCCGAGTATAGTCATGGTAAAGAAGTATATATTGAGGTGAGATTATTTATTATCTAGAATCTACACATTTCTCAAGTTCTAGTATAATTGTATGGGGCAACCCCGATCATGCAAAATTTTGCTCACCAAGCCTTCGGTCACGAAAAGAAGCACAATGGTGAAAAGAATTGAGTACACGAATGTCTTACAAACAGCAGTTAAAAAGCAGCTGGTAGATAACGGATGTGCAGGGAGATTTCATACTTCTTCAACCTATTAAGAGAAATTGTCACAATAAAATTTGCAAAATCTTAATATAAAACCAATATAGTTGTTCTGAAAAGAGGGTCAGAATAACCTGAGGGAGGCTCATTAACTCAAAAACAGCTTTCTTAGGGGTAAGTTCATTGTCAATAATACGAGCAACTGCTGTCAATACAGGCATCTTTACATTATATTTCTGTGCCAAAGCAATCACAGCTCCGGCTGTGGAGACACCTTCTGCTACCTGCACATAGTAAGGATAAACATTTCAGTACCTGCCACTCGCGAGAATTTCAGGTATGATCAGGCACACTTGGAAACTATTAAGATACCTGATTCATGGAATTAAGTATGTTCTCAAGCTTCTCGCCTGATCCAAGTCGCACACCAACTGTTCTGTTTCTTGAAAGATTGACGAAACATGTAAGCATTATGTCTCCAGTTCCTGACAGACCAGTTATTGTAGTCGGCTTTGCACCCATCTCCAGAAGATAATTGAAAGAAAAAGAAACAAAATAGGCAGAACACAGATCAGTTTTATTTTTCTTTTCTTTTATTTTGGAATGGGGCTGTTCACGTGTCTGATTTTTCAAAAATCTAAACAGATTGATTTTATACAAAAGCTCAGCCAAACCCTTTTTAGAAAATGGACCTGTTCAATTTTTTCTAAAAATGGATCAGATTTATTTAAGTTGGATCAATTGAGTGCAGTTTGGTTCCACTTTATACTCATACATAGTTCAATTTTTCGTTTCACTTTATAAGAAACGGATTGGATAACTGAATTCTTTTTACCAAAGTAGATTGGTTTGATTTTTTTTTTTTTCAAAATAGTTTGGGTTTTATAATTTTGATTGGTTCAATTTTGATTCCGTCAACTTGGTTTCAATTTTTCGCATACTCCTAGGGATGAGTAAAAAAATCATATATTAAATGGAACCACTAACAGAAAGTAAATGTGCATGTGTACAACAATTGACGGTGTCTACTACTATGCATTTTAAGTACAATTAATATATATATATATAGCATCAAAACTCCATTCTTGATATTGGATTAGTCAATATATGCATAGTATATTCTATGCCTTCTGCAAATTAGATGTTGCATACAGCATTGCAAAGATTGTTGCAGTCATTTAAGAGGAAACCAGTTTAGTTCTCTTTGGAATGATTACTTGGAACAAAAAAAGGAAGGGAAAAATTTCTACCATTTGCAAGGAATTCTAAGAAATGATTTAATAGAGGTCAATAACCTTTGTTGCAAGCCACCGTATCTCTGAACAGCCTTGTGAGACAAGAGCAGCCATTGAGTTGTTACCAAGATTCATACCTTCTACTATCCCAGCTGCTATTGCAAGTACATTCTTGAGTGCACCTGCTATTTCAACTCCTGTAACGTCACTGGAGTTATCAGAGATTACAAGCTGAACATTTGCACCAATATCTGTGTGTATAGTTATTCAACATTCCATACATAAAACAGAAACAGAAGCCAGGGCATACTAAAAATAGGGGAGAAAGATTAAGCAAGCAGGAAAGATATACTAATTCAGAAGGTAGAATAGAAATCTAGACAGAAATTAAAACAAATCATTTACATATGAAATTCATTTTTATTTAAGAATCTACTGGAGGTCATTTACCTTGATGTGCTGATTCTTAAATGACTCGAAGCTAGTAGTTGCTGAACTTTATTTGCCAATTTTTTGTCTTTTGATGCCACCACCATTGCTGTTATTAGAAAATGGAACCAAGAGACAATTCACTGGCTTTCATCATTTATATAATTAAAAGAACAAAATCCACACGTGTAAGTCGCAACTTAATTGTCACCTGTGGGTAGCTTATCCATCAATTCCAGAGCAAAAGAAGGCCCTGATAGGGCAACAAAAGGCTGGCGAGGATTTCGTAGTGCTTGAGGAATAATTTGAGCCATCATCCTCAGCGTATTCAGCTCTAGGCCTTTGCTGAGAGATATGAATGGCAAGCCTGGATCAACATACTCGGAAACACTCTCAAGAAAAGATGCACTAAACTGCCATATCAGAAACAAAGATTTAGACAGTGACATCTTTTACAAGCGTCAAATACTCAAATGCTGAGATTCATCATATGTATTATTATATTCGATAGCAATGATTCAAACTAAAATGAAGCATCCATTACTGTTTACTACTCTACTAATATTAGGTCTTGTTTGGGTAAGTTTCACTACAAGTACTAATAGAAAGAGAAAATCGGAGGTAACATGAATTAAGCTTCTCTTTTAAGTTAATAACTTAAAATCAACTTATGCACCTCAACTTCTGAAAATAAAAGTTGAGGTGAATAAGTTGATTTTAACTTGTGGAAAAACTGGTAAAAAGAGAGATCGCGAAAGAAATCACAAAGGAAAAAAGAATGTTTGCAAGGTTTTCTTATTGACCCCCTCGCTGAGCCACGCCAATGTTCAATCAAATTCAGTATACAAGGCAATTTCGAGAGTGCCCGCTCTCCCTGATTACAATCCTCTCCCCCCTCCCTTCCCTTATATCTTCCTATTTATACAATCTAACAGTCCCCACAGAACTGTTATCAGTTAGTTAATAAAAATAACTAACTGCCCCCCTTTTCCCTCCTAACATAGACCTGTTTAACCATAGGTCTCCTATCAATACTCCCCCCTCGAGCTATCACCTTGTCCTCAAGGTGAAATTGTGGAAATGTGGCATCAATCTTGGCTGCTGTCTCCCACGAATTTTCATAGTCAAGCAGGTTGTGCCATTTGATGAGTACTTCCAATTCCCCTGTGCTGCTGTACCTGTAAGCTAAGAGTTCAGCGGGTTCCGATTGCAATTCCCAATCTACAGAAAGCTCTTCAGAAAGGGACTGCACGTGTTTTTCTAGTGGAACGGCCTTCTTTAATTTGCTAACATGAAAGACTGGATGAATTCTACTGTTTTCTGGTAACCGCAACTTGTAAGCCACCTCACCCACCTTAGCCACCACCTGAAAAGGACCATAATATCTAGGACTCAATTTCTCATTTCTCCTTTTCGCCAGCGATTTGAGCCTATACGGTTGGCCTTTTAGATAAATCCAATCTTCCACCTCAAATTTCACGTCCCTTCTTTTCCTATCCGCTTGTTGTTTCATCCTATGCTGTGCCTTTCCAATGTTAGCTTTCAATTCCTCCAGAATTCCATCCCTCTCTTCTGCCATTACATTCACAGTTTCCACCTTGGAAGGAAAAGTTTGAGCTTTGAAAATAGCAGGACCATCCCTTCCATACACAGCCTTGAAGGGAGTCATGCCCGAAGACTGATTATAATGAGGGTTAAAACAAAATTCTGCCCAAGCTAACCACATAGGCCATTGCTTGGGTTTATCTCCCACAAAACACCTCAAGTAATCCTCCAAACACCTGTTAACCACTTCTGTTTGTCCATCCGATGGGGGTGATACGCTGAAGTATATTTCAATTTCGTACCTGCTGATTTAAACAACTCTGACCAAAACTGACTCAAAAACAACTTGTCCCTGTCAGTGACAATGGATTCCGGAAATCCATGCAGCCGCACCACTTCCTGAATGAACACTTGAGCCACCTCCTGTGTAGAATAAGGGTGTGATAGGGGTAAAAAATGGGCGTACTTGGATAGTCTGTCTACTACCACCAAAATAGTATCTTTGCCTAAAGCTTTTGGAAGTCCCCCAATGAAATCCATAGATAAGTCAGTCCATATTTGTGTAAGAATTGGTAATGGCTGCAGCAACCCTCCTGGCGCCAATGTCTGATACTTATTAGTTTGGCAAATGTGGCATTCAGTCACAAATTTGGTAATATCCTTCTTCATTCCCTTCCAAAAAAATGCAGCCGACACTCTCTTGAAGGTCCTGAAGACTCCAGCATGTCCCCCCATAGCTGAAGCATGAAACTCTTGGATGATGAGAGGAATCCTGCTGGAATTCCTGGGTAAAACCAATTTGCCTTTGAAAAATAATTTTCCTTCCTTCAATTCATACCCCTGTTGCTGGTCCGGGTCTATGACCAATTTCTGTATTAATGCTTGCATTTAACATCCCCCAAGAACTCTTCTTCCCATCTCTGCCACTCCTCCATTTCCACTCTTGATATGGCAGCATACATCATCTGCCTTGAAAGTCCATCCGCCGCCTTATTCTCATAACCCGGTTTGTATTGGATTTCAAAATCAAATCCCAATAATTTGGTTGTCCACTTGTGATGCTCCTCTCCCAACAATCTCTGCTCTGTAAGAAATTTGAGGCTCGTCTGATCAGTTTTTATAATGAACTTCCTTCCCATCAAATACTGTCTCCACTTCTGAACAGCCACTACAATCGCCATCAATTTCCTTTCATACATTGATTTTCTCTGGGCCTTTTCAGAAAGTGCCTTGCTCATGAAGGCTAAGGGTATGCCCTCTTGAAGCAGCACGACCCTAATCCCTTTGCTGGAAGCATCTGACTCCACTACAAACTGCTTGGAAAAATTCGGTACTGCCAAAATGGGTAATTCGACCATGGCCTGTTTAAGTGCCTCGAAAGCTGCAGTGGCTTCCCTACTCCAAACAAATGCTTCCTTTTTTAACAATTCAGTTAGAGGTCGGGAAATCACCCCATATCCCCGAACAAACCTCCTATAATATCCGGTTAGACCCAGAAACCCCCTCAGACCTTTAATACTCGTAGGTTGAGGCCACTTAAGCATGGCTTCTACCTTGGAAGGGTCTGCTGCCACCCCCTTGACCGAAATGACATGACCCAGATACTCCATCTGCGGCCTTGCAAACTCACACTTCTTCCTATTAGCCACCAACACATTTTCTTTCAGCAAAGTCAGCACCTGTCTTAAGTGGGACTGATGCTCTTCCAAACCCCTGCTATACACCAATATATCATCGAAAAATACTAAAACAAACTTCCTCAAAAATGGCCTCAATACTTCATTCATTAACCCCTGGAACGTTGAGGGTGCATTAGTAAGGCCGAAAGGCATCACCAAGTATTCATAGTGCCCCTCATGTGTTCTGAAAGCAATCTTGTGAATATCCTCCTCTCTCATCCGAATTTGGTGATAACCAGATTTCTAATCCAATTTGGAAAATATAGTGGCCCCAGTCAGTTCATCCAACAGCTCATCAATAACTGGAATTGGAAATTTATCTGGTACGGTTACCTTATTCAACGCCATGTAATCTACACAAAACCTCCAGCTCCCATCCTTCTTTTTAACCAAAATTATAGGACTAGCATAAGGGCTGATGCTAGGTCTAATAATCCCGGTTCTCAACATATCCTGCACCAGTTTTTCAATCTCATTTTTTTGATAATACGGATACCTATATGGTCTGAGGTTAGGGATCTCTGTCCCCTCCTTCAAATTGATAGCATGGTCTTGCTGTCTTGATGGAGGTAGTCCCTGGGGTTCCCTGAAAACCTCCTCAAACTCCTCCAGGAGTTGCTGAATACTATCAGGAACTGCTCTCATCTTCTCCTCTGACTCTGTTTCAGCCACACAACATTCCACCCAATAGATTTCCTCCTCCTCCTTCAATTGCTTGAGGGTGCCTTTCAATGGTGCTTCCGACACACTCAAGGAAGAGTCACCCTTGATCTGATAGACCTCTCCTCCCACTTTAACTTTCAAGGTTCGTTTATCAAAATTAGCCTTAATTTCTCCTAGCCCCCTCAACCACTCCATTCCTAGTATCACGTCAACACCATCCAAGGCAAACAGATAGAAATTCTGCCTCAAAGGAACCCCCTGTAACTCCATTTTCAACCCTGCGCACATCCCCTGCGCCTTCACACTATAACCATCCCCTACCTTCACCCAATACGGTTTCTCTCCACCACCAACCCCAATTTCCTTACCACCGAATCAGCAATGAAATTATGGGAAGCCCCACAATCCACCAAAACCAAAATTGAATTATCACCTATCTCCCCCCAACATTTGAACGAATGATTTGAAGTCATTCCCACCATACACCGAAAATCTAATGTTGTGGTGGACGGCTTACCACTCCATTGGATTTCTTCCTCTTCATCCTCCACTACCACGCCCTCTTCTAACAACATTATTCGGATTTGCTTGTTTTTGCACACATGTCCCGGTGAATACTTCTCTTCACATCGGAAACAAATCCCTCTTCTCCGCCTGTCTTGGTACTCCGCATCGGTAATATGCCACCAATTTGTTTTTCCTTCCCCCTTCCGGTCATTCTCCTCCTTCGTCCCCGTGGGTTCCTCATGTTTCTTCTTCTCTTCGTCCCTCCGGCTGCCATAAATGTTCTTGTTCCATCCCCCTTTGTTATTGGTGGTCGACGATCCACCCACCTCCTTCCTGAGAATAGAATTTCTGGACTCTATCAATAGAGCCAAATCCATAATTTCTTCCAATGAATTGAGTTGATGCAACCTCAATTTCGCTTTAACCTCCTCCTTGAGACCATTCAAGAAAATGCCCTTCAAATAATTGGTATCCCCAATCCGAAGAGGCCCAGTGTAGTCAGCCACACTCCCTTCCTGCTTAGGGCCCAACAACACCTCGTAAGGGTTTTGTACCATCTCGGGCTGGAATCGTCTCAACAAGGCCCCTTTGAAACCCACCCACGCAGAATTTTGGTTTCTGCCTTCCCACCATTGGAACCACGCCAACGCCTTCCCTTGCAACGCCACCATAGCAACCTCCACCTTCTCGTCCCCCAATACCCCCTTCAGTCTGAAATATCTCTCCATCTTCCCAACCCATCCCAACACGTCATCCCCCTGGAACAGCGGAAGTTCCAGGTTTCGCCACTTCCACCCATTCTTTTCCGTTCTTGGAACCACTGATATTTCATCCCCTTCGCGGCCGTTACTTCCCATTGTCCCCATGGTCACTCGCATTTCCTTCAACTGCTCCAACATCTCGCGCATAGCCCCCTCGATGTTACGCCGCCATTCACTTTCCTCCGCTGCGCGTTTCTGTATGTCTTGCAATCCCTTTTCCACCTGTTCCAACCGAAACTCCATCTTCTTTTCCATCCTTGATCGCCTCAGGTTCGAACCAGCTCTGATACCAGTTGATAGAATCAACTGGTAAAAAGAGAGATCGCGAAAGAAATCACAAAGGAAAAAAGAATGTTTGCAAGGTTTTCTTATTGACCCCCTCGCTGAGCCACGCCAATGTTCAATCAAATTCAGTATACAAGGCAATTTCGAGAGTGCCCGCTCTCCCTGATTACAATCCTGTCCCCCCTCCCTTCCCTTATATCTTCCTATTTATACAATCTAACAGTCCCTACAGAACTGTTATCAGTTAGTTAATAAAAATAACTAACTGCCCCCCTTTTCCCTCCTAACATAGACCTGTTTAACCATAGGTCTCCTATCACAAAGATTCAGATAGTGACATCTTTTACAAGCGTCAAATACTCAAATGCTGAGATTCATCATATGTATTATTATATTCGATAGCAATGATTCAAACTAAAATGAAGCATCCATTACTGTTTACTACTCTACTAATATTAGGTCTTGTTTGGGTAAGTTTCACTACAAGTACTAATAGAAAAAGAAAATCGGAGGTAACATGAATTAAGCTTCTCTTTTAAGTTAATAACTAAAAATCAACTTATGCACCTCAATTTCTGAAAATAAAAGTTGAGGTGAATAAGTTGATTTTAACTTGTGGAAAAAGTTTCATTCATTTTGTTTATCATTTTCTTCTTCTATAATAAGTTTTTACATAGCTGATCTTGCCTAGTGGGATAAGGCTTTTTGTTGTTGCTTCTATAAGTGCTTATAAAAAGTTCATCCAAGCAGGACACCCTGCTATGCTAACAATTCCCATTGATTGAAGAAGTAATAAAAAAAAGAACAACAAACTCAAATGACCTGAACAGGCACTGCATGGAGACAGTAATCCGCACCAACCAAAGCAGATTTGGCATCAGTTGTGGCAACTACATTTTCCGGCAAACTATGATCCGGAAAGTACTTACTGCCCAACAAAAATAAATACAAAACAGTCATCTAAAACAGATACCGATGACAAAATTAGATGATCACAACTCACAAGTTAACCTGTAATTGTGCAAACTATGAGCTCAGACAAAACGGTTACCGATTACAATGGCTCTCATTGATAGACAAGCAAACTTGAGGGTCCCGAACCAACATCTTCACCTCTAACTCGGCCTTTCTGTTTGCCACATGAGCAGCCATTGCCGTCCCAAACGACCCCCCTCCAAGCACAACCACCTTCCCTCAACCAAAAAACAAATAAAATTCTCAGTACCCCACAACACACAACAAGCCATAAACAAAAAGTTTGATTTCTATGCATTATCAACGTAAAAATCATTACACGACAACCAATTAGAAATAATGGTGAGAATGCCTTTCAAGGTAGATATTATAAAAGTCAACCAAATTACAATTCATATCCATTTTCTTTAGTAAATTACACTGACACCCTCTCTGTTTTCTTAAGGCTTACGAGGTTACAGAGTCACAATATAACGTTTTTTTAAACAATTAAGGGTTTATTCTTCGTTTTTCAATAGAACCACAGTTATCTTCTACCCGAATCAACCTCGCTTGAACTGGTAGAACTACAAAGAGAAGCAAAGTGTTCCAAACATAATTTCTGATTGGATGACATAAAATTCTTGCACCATCATATTGCGTACTCAACAAACCACATCACACTACCATGATTCAGATATAAATCCAAAGAAAGAAAGTAAAACTCAACGATAACACGCGTGCGCACGTGTCATAATTTCTTCACTTTGTAATGGAATTGGAAACAAATTGTAACCTTATTCGTGCGTTGGAGGACGTCGGTGTTGGCCTTGGAGCGCCAGGACCTGGACCACCGGACGAGTTTCTCCCAGGCGACTCGGACGATTCTCCGGCGGTCCCGGGTCGGGTCGGGTTCGGAGTCGGGGTTCGGGTCCGGGTCCTGAGTGGGAGAAAGAGAAGCATTTGCGGCACGAGAAGTAACGCGAAAGGTGAGAAAGGAGGGTTTGGTGTGAAACTTGGAAGGGATATTGTTAGTGTTGTGAGGTTTAGAAGAAAAGAACGGTGTTGCCAACGGCGCTTCCAACACTGCCGCCATTGTCAAAACTTGTGAAACTCACGCCGCCACAGATTTTTCCTTGAGGAATTCCCACAGGATAGGAGAAATAAAATATAAATGCTTTATATTTTTGTTTTATGAAATTCTTTTTATTATGTATTTCTTTGTTTGTAAAATTCTTTGGATACATGGATTCTCTATGTTGTATTATTCAAAGAAATTTCTTTTTTATGTGTATATTTTAATTAAACACATGCACTGCAATACAGTTGATTGAACACTAATAATAATACTAGAAGTTTATTAGGAATTAAAATTTGTTTCGTCTAATTTGTTATTCATTTATTCATCGAGTCTGTTGTAGATTTGAAATAAATAGAAAAATAAGGAGGTTAACACCGTGTAGTTTTCCTATAAAGCCTTGATATAAGACTAGTTATTAGGGTGGAGTTGAGTGAGGTTCATCCTTGAATGATTAAGATTAGGCTATATCAAAGGTGGTAGTGGTTTATTAGGGTGGATGGGTCATTCTTTACATCATCATTAAGATTAGGCATCATAAAATTAAAGTTTGAAAAATTCTGATTGATGAATGTGACTTAAGGCATGGCAACGGGGCGAGGCGGGGCGTGTTTTACGTTCCCCGTTCCCGCCCCGCAAATTTAAATCGTCCCCGCTCCCGTTCTCGATATCTGCCGGGAATAAAATCTGGGTCCCCATCCTCGCCCCCGGCGGGATTCAGGTTTTCCCGCTCCGCCCCCGCTCCCGTTCCTATTCTTTTTTCTTTTAAATAAATATTAACAATTTAAAAAAATATAAAAAAAAAGTAAAATAATATAAATTTTTACATATAAATATTTATAATTTTGGTTTATATATATATATAAATAATTTTTTAATTATATTATTAAGCGGGGCGGGGGCGGGGGCGGGGCGGGTA